CAGGTTCATTTTTCTAACAAAGTGTTTTTGCCTTTGACTTTGTAAGTGAATTTTTCTTATATTTACTTGCTGGAATACAGAAAGTTTATATAGAAACAAGAGAGGAAAGGTCAAAATCTCTGGATATTAATGTTGTTAAAGAAAGTATATAGATTATATTACAAAGAAATATAAAATTTCTTTGGAATGTCTGTTTTTGTGTTGGCAAAAGGATCAGTAAAAAAATATATTTTTTTACACTTTATTTTTATTTATACTTTTAGACTTGCAATATAAGATTTATAAATCTATAGCATGATATATATTTCTCTTTGCCAGAAAAAGTTAATACAAAACTTATCAAATGTGACCCCTCTACCTAAGCTTCTTAGTACTATTCAAGAATATAGAAAAATAAATTTTAAAATCTATATTATGCCTTGAATAATATCTAGTTATCTAGAGAATTTTAATTATCTAATCATATAAAAGCACTGCAGCTATTATATACAAATTGGCTTCCAAGTTATAACTAGGATTAGTATGCTTGTTTTTTAAATATGACTTGATGTATAACAAGTGAAATATGTGTTTCATCTTATATTTCATTTGAATAACTTATTTAAACAGCTGAAAAGTCATTATTCTGACTAAAACATCCAATAGAAATTGGCCTTTTATTCAATTACTTAGTATTTAACCTTTTCTATCTTTTTAGGATTGTGGCAAGTTACAGGTTACTCAAGTCTGTGATAGTTGTTTATACTTGTAACAAGTAAGGAAAGTGATAGTCATCCTTCACATAAAGCTTTATATACATAACTGCACTATTCAAATTTTTAAGAAAGATCCAATACAAGTATAAGGCAAGAGAAGATAAAAAAGAAATATTAAATATGTAATAATGATTATTGAGAAAAATTGTAAAACATTTTGAAATTAAAGTTTTTTATAGATATTGTTTCCTAATCTTGTATATCAAAACCTGTATTGTTGAAGGGATGAGTAAAAAACTTTGTAATTATTATCAGCTTATATTATGAGATAACTAGAATCCCTGATTTTTAAATATTATTTTATTATGTTATCTAATCATCAGTATAATACCTATAATCAAATTAGTTGCATTGGCATTGGTTGTTATATCATTCTGGATACTATAAGACATAACTTTTTGAAAGCTTTAGATAATAATAGTTGTATACCAGTTTTTTAGATATATCTAATCTAACTATCAGTAGGTAAGTAATATTGGATTTGATAATAATGACCATATCGATCTTTTGAAAAAGATAAGCTCTTTATTCTTTTCTATAAAACCATAAGAAAAAAAATTTTAAAGCTTACATTTTGAGAAAAGTTGTCAATTTCTGATATAACATTTGAGAAAAGGAGTCAACTGGTCAAAGAATTGATATTATAAAGTAACCTTTATAAAAAAATGAAAGATTTAAGAAGGAAAATCTAACTTTTACAGGAGAAGAAAAAGGAAAAAAAGAAAGAAAAGTAAAGTAAAAAAGAGAATGTTTTGAAGAGAGAAGAAGAAAAATAAAGAAAGAGAATAAAAAAATATAAAGAAGAAGAAGAAAAGAGTAAAAAAGTAAACAATTCAAAAATTTTTTAAAAAGAAAATTTCCAAGTACAGAAGGAGGAGTAAAAAAAAGTTTTTAAATCTTTATATACTTTAATGATCTTTTAAACATATCAAATATAAAAAAAATTTAAATATTTTCAATATTAATAAAATTTTTTGTTTTTTTTAAAATTATTTGAAGAGTTTTTATTGAAATTTTTTTTTTCTTTTAAAACTTGTAATTAATATATTATATTTATTATATATATATATTTTATTGTTGTTCAACATTTTAAAAAAATTATAAAAGCTTATAAAATATTATAAAAATCTTTTTAATAATAATAAAAAAGAATTTATATAGATCTATGAGTCTATAGTGCAGTGGTTAGCACTTCACAGGTCAGATTACAAGATACCAAGTTCAACTTCAGAAGAAGGCAAATTAAACCGACCAATTTAGATATTCATCACTATAATCAGCCAAGCGTTGTTTTCCATAAAAAGCTATTCTCATGCTAATCCAGCAGGCATTGGAATTGTGATCTCCAAAAAAGATGTCGATGGTGACATGATCATCAAGAAGGTGTTACGATGATCGGTCCAAGCTTGGTAAAGATCCTTCTCCGTACCCCCTATTCCCAATACCCGACATTTCCCACCCCTATAGTCCACAAGACTATAAAAGAAAAAAATTATTATTTAGGTACTGGAATGGACTTATTAGAGTAGATGAGACACTCTGTTTAGTCTTTTAGTACTAGTTTAGGCTAGTGATTAAACTGGTAGCTAATGTCAGCATTTGGAATTATCTCGATGTAACCAAATTTACTAATAGTATAGTAGAATTATAACATAATATATATATATATATATAAATATGTATAAATACTAACTACAAAAGCAATTGTATAAATGGATGA